TGTAGCGTTGCTAAATATGCATATCTCAGTGGTACTAGAATTCATGCAGGAACAATGAGCCTGATTCATTATCTGACCCCAGATGTGCTTTACTGCTCGCTCCTCTCTGTGTGTGTCCAAATGGAAAGAATACTTTTCATACTTTTGGAGACAGAGAGAAAGACTGACGGCTGGACACCCACATTCATTTATCTCAGCCTCCAAGTCGATTTTTCTCTCACACATTTGATTCTTTTCCCCATACATAATGTATTTCCTTTTATGCTAATTACTGGTTGGAATTCATGTGAGGATGGGCACTAATTTGTGTGTGTGTGTGTGTTTGCCCCTTCACCTCAGCCCCAGTTGTCGACACACCACCTCTGCATCACTGTCATCCCATTGGTCGTCACATATGGACCCCCACTGCCCCGCATGGAAGACCTCCACTGTGCCCTCTGACCCCGATGCACCTCCCACCAGCCTTATAGGGAGCGCCACTTCTGCTGGAGCCCACACAAGCATTTAAAACACACATTTTCACTACTAGGCAAGGTAACAAAAATGTCAGGACTTTTGTCATTTTAAAGTACAAACATGAGGAAAGTTAGAATTGAGTAGGAGTTGTAGAAATGTTGAAGGTTTGTTGATTTATCAGAGTTCTCATCACATCCAAACACTCCATCCATCATAGACCTACAATTCCGAATGAGGAGTGCCTACCTTGCTGCTGTGTGCAAGTGATGGCTGCAGCCAGATTACATTCCCCTCCATTCCACACAGTCTTAGGACACTGGAGCAGGTCTGACTCCTCTCCCTGGCAATGGACTGCCCTCCAATGGAGTTTGGCCATGCTTGGATGAAACAGGGGAACTGCACGTGCACGACCTGAGATCCTGGAAGGAGATGTAGAAAGTAAACGACAAAGTTTACCTTATCTGAAATAGGTTTTTTAACCGACAAGTGACGTTGAACCGTTTTATCGTATGAGAGTTTTTTCAAGAGAAATGTAACCTAATTAGGGGATTTTGGCCCTCATGTTTAAGTCACCTGAGGTAATTGCTGCAGCCAGGCTCAGGCAGCCCATCTTATAAGAAAAGGTACAACACACGTGTTTACATGGTAGCAGTAACCTTGAGCCATAAGTATGTTCATGATCTGCCATTGGAGGGCCAATGCGGTCAGCAGTTTTACTCAAAACAGCTTCAGTAACTGGCCACGTGAAAGTCATCACCAACGATTCCAGCTGACATATGGCTGACATTTGCCCCTTTCCCTTTCCGCTGTGTACTTTCATTGACTCCTGTGTGAATATGCACACACAGGCATGTGTTCATGTCAGCATGCGTGCCAGTGTTGGAGTTAGTGTCAACATGTGTAGTAAGTGCACAGAAGGTCTCTGTTCTCCAGGGAAATAAGACGCTTTCTGAATTGAGAAACTGACCCCAGCTTATTAACACTGTCAATATGTATGATCTGTCTACGTTCTCCCTGTGGACCCGACAAGTCAGTGGCTTTTCTAGCATGAAAGCACCTTTAAATTCAAGACCATAAGACACAGTCAAGAGAGTAACAAAGAGAGCTGGTAACAAGGTAAATAGCTGAGCACTGAAGGTATTTAAATACCGCTGGAGAATGGGGGGTTGGAATGCAAGGGTCACATAAGAAAGGTACAAGGACTGTGAAGAGAGTGCATGTGTATGTCTAGGTTGTGGGGAAATGTTCTAGCATTCCCACCAGATTTCTATCACACTCTTACCATATGTCAAATCTCTGTAGGCAGCTTCACATGTGAATTTATGTGGCAGATGGTGATTGTACTGGCACCTGTGTCTAAAAAAATATGTAAGCGGGGGAGGCAGACAGAGGCCAGCAAATAATCCATGTCTGAGTGCATGTGTGTGCATGGGTTCTCTCTCACCCCTTGCCCAGCTGTCTGCAAACCACTGCAGCGTCTTCGTCCCCCCAGTCATCGCTACAGACAGACCCCCACACTCCTCCAAGATACATTTCGACCCTGCCATCTAGCTTGGTGCGGCCTCCTTGCAAACGTACAGAGCCTGGGATGGAAAGAGAGTTGGAGAACAGACTATTAGTACAGCATATTCTGACAACACTGTAGGGTTGGCTATTGGTGCTTTCACACAAATATGTACACATTTATATTTCTTAGAATTAATTAGGATTGATGTGGATGCATTGACTTTGAAGGTAAACGCAAATAACAGAACGGCAATTCTGTCAAGTTCAGAAAATTACACAATTTAGGGGGAAAAAAAACATATGTTAAGTTACAATGATATCAAAATCTCAAACAATATCTATTCTCATAGCACTTTATCAATATTACGTTGATATATTGTCAAGCCCTAAATGAAAGTGTTAAAAAAAGAGGTAAAAGAAAGGCAGCCTTTGTTTGATTTGGTCATGATGACAGGGGATCACACAGGCGTATACAACTGTGTTATAAATGATCCAATCAATCTGTCTGTGTCAAAAGGGCTGCATTTAAAAAGTATCATTTTACATCAGTTCATGATATCCATTGACATAACATGTTGTGTGAGTCGACACATCACAACCAGTCTATATAAAGAAAACACTTATTTTTAACTGTTGTTAAAATACACTATAACACTGTTTGACTATGTCCTTCTGTCCGTCTTTTGTCCTCAAACACGCATGGTGCAAGAGGATTTGGGATTGAGTGTTTAACAGATGTTGCCTAAAGTGTACAGATTTTCCTCATAGACTTTTTCCTTCCGTGCAGGTTGTTTATTGATCGAGTAACTTGAATGCTTTGCGCATATCTATTTTTACATGCACATTATGTAGGTTATTAGGATAACCGGGAATGTAAGGGTGCATTTTCAAACACACATGCATAGGGGAGTCAGTCTTTTCCTTACATGAAGTTAGAACAAAAATAATCTGGACTCCAAATATAAGGTGTGCAATTGTTCAAACATCTTACATAACTGGATCAATACATCAATTCCATGTATCAATTACAGGAGGAGGATTTATTCATGATGTGCCAACACACTACAAGACTAAAAATACCACAGGCTGCTTCTCGTGTGCCAGATGGATATCACACTTTTCCTTTCACCACTATATGTCATACTTCTCTCCCTTTCATCAGTCCAAAGATGTAGAGTCCTCATTGCCCTCACTTTTCTTTTTAGCAACACTAATTGGCTCAAGCCTGTGTACTTCATAGGTTTGGATAATGTGGTGTTCCCCATGTCAAACTATTTTTAATATGGTAAGAGACAGTGTATTGAGATGACTCACTTGCTTTTTGTGATCCTTTGGAATGTGTTATTCCACCCCATATAAGCAAATACCTGTGCACTCATTACAACACAAATGTGCTTAGACTTGCTATCTGCATAGCCTGCTCTCACACCTGGGACACTGAAGGTGTGTCCTGTCTAATTACTTCAGCATGGGCTTCCTGAGTTGAACACAATTGAGCTAGAACATTCTTGCACACAGAGGTAAAACAAAAACTGCTTTTCATCAGCCCAAATTCATATTAATAATGTCCTAGTAAAGTACATCTACATCTTATCTTAGCATGTTATAAGTTAAAGCGACTTTCTAGATATTGGGCCACCTGTATTATTTTTTAGATTATCATTCATTTCATTTTGGCAAATTTCAATATAAATTCATAATGTTGTTGACATATTCCTACAGATTATGAATCCCCCCAAAATAGGTAGGCTATTGCTGTGTATGGGTCTTCGTGTTTACCTTGTTTACAGTCGCAATAGCCCCAGTCAGCTCTGCCTTTGTGGTTCCTAAAAAAGCACCAGGGTCGGATCCTGCCGTCCGGGTTGCGGCAGTGGTTATGCTCTCCAACTCCTTTGCCAGGGTAGCGCTCCTTGAAGCCGGCCACTTCGGTCCAGTTCATACACCGGGTGCCGGACTCGGTGACGTCTATCGCTCCCCGGTAGAAACCGTCTTTCCCACGGCTCTGGACGCAGTCAGTAAACGGCAGGATGAATGACGGAACGCTGCTAGAATAACAGAAGCCGCTATTCGCAGCCAAAAGCGCGGCTGTTAGAGCAATAAATGCCAAATTCATGGTAGGTCTCTGACTGTAAGGAGGCGAAGACAGTGCCTTCTATCATCAATCGCTCCTATCATGAGCTGAGGAGGCGATTTCCAGTCAGGCTCATCGCTTTGCGGTGGGACGAGAGTGTGAACCGGGTGAAGAGAAACGACGCCGATCAATGAAACTCAGATTTGCGTGGGCTAATGGCCAGATTGCCCCCCAACGAACCAATAACGTATAATCGAAGTAATTTCCCCCATAATGCGATTTGACACCATTTTATTATATTTGGCAAATGTAGGCCTATCTCTAATACAAAATCTGTAATCATGTTTATAGTAGGCCTATCACAACCAAATTCACAGGGAATAGAGAGGGACACTTATTGTAAATTGTAATAAGGCTATTGCACATATTAGCCGGGCCATGTAAACCGTGGCATGGTATCCATGCTCCCAAAACATTAAAAGCACACTTGCAATTGTTGAAACAAAGCGAAAATGAACTAAAAGATTGTGTTAACAGTTTATTCTGGCGTAGGCCTATGCATTACACTTCTGATTCACATCATAAGTTTAAGCAATTCCCACACCATATTTAACCTATAGGTCTAGTATCCATATTTTACTTAAGCCTGGCAAGTAAAAAGCATTTACAATTAACAATTTGTTAAGGATCTTCTTGTTGTGGCTACATTAGTGAAGCACACTATCTGAGAGATGCTGCAGTTTGGCGCAGAGGCAGAGCGGTATTGGATTGCATGATTTTGCTTGAAGTGCTCTCTCCCTGAGTAGTGATGACAGGATGGAATTGACTAAATAGCGCCTCCAGCGTCTACAGTATAGTATCCTCTGATTGGAGGAGGCATCAGTAAACGTCAAACAGAAGCGTCCTACCGGGTGACATCATCACGCAGCATCCATTCGATCACAAAAGTGTTCACTCCTAATGTCAACCGGCGTACGCCGTAAGTGGGTTGACGGAGTCGGCACTGGATAAATAGCGTTTGTCGGTTAACCAAATTGACACAATGAAAGTGGACTGCCAGCACCGTATACAAAATAAACGCCTCAGTATACAACGCAAGGCAACAGCCACTCCCAGATGTCTGTAATGCCTTATTGTAGCTGCTTGCTCCATCTACAGTACACCAAGGCAGTGACAAACCGGAGCGTCCCGGGGCCGTAACGAGTGCACCCATTGTTATTTTTTAGCGGCTATTACACATTGGCCGATTGTTGGCTACCATAATAGCTTGCTAATCAACTTTAACTGTGTGTATCAACGAGCAAATGTGGTTGATAGTTGATTAGAAACTATACAAAGTGAAGAAAATGAACAGTCGACTGCAAGAGATTCGCGAGAAACAAAAACGTAGACGCGAGCTTTTAGCTCAACAGGCAAGTGGAGCTTCTTGGTGATGTTAGCATGTAATGTTAGCTAATAGTTCACAAGTAATCTAACTGAAGCTATAATGGTATCTGTTGACCATCTATGGAGCTGCTAGATCACAACATGTTGTTTAAATTACGCATTTTTGAAAACGTGGTGGACAAGGAAAGAGCCATGTGGCACCAATACATGCATAAGGGAAGATAACATAGCTGAGTTATCTCCGCATTTACATTGTTCTCCATCGAGTGGACTCCAGGCATAAATAACATCCCTGAAACATTGAATGTTAATTAATTGTATCTATATGTTAAGCTATTGTTGCAGATATAGTAGTCAGACTATAATGAAAATGGTGTTAGATAAAATACAACTTTACTTTAAATAAGTTGTTGAAGCTGCTGCTACACAAAAGCAGTAACATGCTGAGAGACAACTCTGAGCTAAACAATGCATTTTATAATAAAGGACATAAATAAATGACTTTCTCCTTTTTCTCTAACCCCAGTTGGGAGCTGAAAGTGCAGACAGCATCGGAGCTGTCCTAAACAGCAAAGATGAACTAAAAGAAATCGAGGAGACAAGAGAGACATGCAGGTAAGCTATGATCAAAAACGGGTTGAACAAAATCCTGGCGAACAGGTTAGTAACAATATAAATAATAAATTAGGGGTGCAGTTGTAAGCATAAGAGTTAGTTAATTTAATTTACAAATGGATTTTAATGGCATGAATAACACAAAACACGATACAGAGTAGCTGCCTATCCAAACCTTTTTAAGGTTTTTGTTTGATCTGATCCTTGCATTTATGCACACATTGATCATATTGTATTCACTCACTCCTCTACACACAACAGCCCATCTCATTTTCTTTAAAGTATTGTTATATGTTTGTCCCGCTTGCTTAGACGTTTTGCTTTGTTATTGTCAGCGCTAAAATGTGGGTTTTGTGCATTAATGTGGCAAAGTATCTTGGAATGTATCTCATATTTGTTGTGTCTTGCAGGGCTTCATTTGACAGTTTAGCCGTACCTTCCAAAAGGAAGGCCCTGACGGAGGGAGAGGACACAGAGGAAGATGTTGAAGAACCAAAGGTGAGCATTAGGAATCTACATGGGTTAAAGAAGCATCCACCCTATCATATGATTATAAACCTGATTTAATATTGCACTTTTCTAAACAAATGTGCCAGCAATTTACAGTATGAAAACACACTTAGCTTTAACATAACACCAAGTTTCCTAAAATATAGTGATGGCTAATTATGTCGCTTTTCGGCGCCTCCCGCTTTTTAATGCTGATTTGGGTGACTTCTGTAATTCGTGGAGAACCGAAGAGGGGGGAGTGGGGGGGGGGGGGGGGGGGGGTGGTTAGTCCACTCACAGACTGATGGACAACTTCTCACTTCAAAACATAGAACTTACTTGGGAGGCGACCGGCCACGTATAGCCTATTAACGGCCGCCAAAGTATATTTTGTATCCATCAGCGAGCACGACTAGTGGACAATGATCCCTCGCACTACGCATCCTCTACCTGTGCACTCTCCTATCGCTTGAAGGGTCTGCTAACAAGCGCCAACAGAAGACCAGTTAATTGAAGCATTATACAGTTCTGTTTTATTATGAGTGTTAAGAGATGTATACCATAAATCTCTTAATGTTGCCCTCAAAGCGCACCAGATGTGATGCATTTAACGGGTGTCAATTACAATTAAAGAAAAAAAAAAAATCTTCCTGGGGGAGCATGCCCCTGGACCCCCCAAGAGGAGGTGAGGTCCCCCCACAAATAAACAGGTTCATATGGATAGGATACTAGATAAGTTTGCACATTCATTATATATAATGATAATATATATGGTTAATTGCGGAGGACCCCGTTTTGTGTCCCCCCCCACTTCTTAAACCAAAGTTACACCCTTGATAATATCTACCTGTAAAAACCCTTGATTTCTAACTTAACATCTCTGTCTCCTATTGATCTGAGTATATTATAAAGAATAGCCAGTTAATTGAAGCATTATAGTGCAGGCCTTTGTCAGATGGTATATTACGCTGTTTTTTTTCTGCTTCGAATAGTTCTCTCTTTTTTCACCATAGGTGTGTTTGCACCACTGTAAATAAAACATGAGAAGGAGACAACAAAACCAGATAAAAAGTTGTTTTTTTTTGCCGCCACCCACAACTGTGATCTCTCAAGATGCTGCAAACATTTTTCTGTTGTTTCCATGAGTTTTAAAATGTAGGATCTATCACATTTAAAACTTGAGGTTATTGTAAAACATTATTGTGAACAGTTTCACCCATTATATATGTATATATATATATATATATATATATATATATGTATATGTATATATATATATATATATATGTATATGTATATGTATATGTATATATATATATATAATATGTATATGTATATGTATATATATATATGTATATATATATATATATATATATGTATATGTATATATATCTATATATATATATATATATATAAGGGTGTCAAACGATTAACATTTTTAATCAGATTAATCACAGCTTAAAAATGAATTAATCATGATTAATCACTAGGGATGCTCCGATCGATCGGTCACCGATCGATATCGGCCGATACTCACTCTCTACCGATCGATCGGTGCTCTCTAAACATGCCGATCGCGAGAGCCGACACTTTTCTCTGTGTGCGGCAAAACAAGCTCGCCAAAATGGCTTCACCGGTCTGGCATTATTTTATGGTGTCCGAAAAAGACAGTAAAATAGCGGTATGCAACGTGTGTGTGAAGCAGAAATCCTGCAGCTCCGCCCGCCGGACAGGTAAGCGCAGCGAAACACACACACAGGGAGAACCAGACCGCAGTTCATTTCCTCATATTCCAAACGAGAAATTACGGTAGCAAATCACCCGGTTCTTTACGACCAGAACTATTAACGGGATACAAACCGGAGGAACCAGGCATGGAGGGAGGTGGCAGAGACAGTGGGTGAAACTGGTAAGTTTTCGCCTGTTTGGGGAGTTTACATATATATATATTGCTCGCATAAAATCCCCGGGGTTTTTTGCTTTGTATGTCGGGGGCGGAAGATTCATGTGATTGGTTGTTGGTCGCGTTGCTCGCAAAAAATCCCCAAGCTTTCAGACACGCCCATCTCCAAGATTTTCAAGATTTTTGAAAAGCTGCTGTGTGGACGTACCGTAAGAGTTAGACCTAACACACTTAGCTATTTTATCTACCTCTGGAACAAGCTAAACTAGTTATTATAAATATATTTATTCTTCATTGTCAGGTCACTCATTACTGGATCAGTGAGCTGCATGAGATACTGACAGGCTGTCAGGAGAGGGAGAGAGGAAAAGAGAGCGCTTCCGCTAATTTCTCCCGTGTTATTATCCAAAGTGAATGTAAACTTGAATAATGTACATCATTTGAATGTAATAATTAAGTTGATTGTTGTTTGTGGAAGCTCCAGTGAATGAGCCCCATTAACTGAGTTATAAACATCACTTTAAATGGAAGATTTAAAGTGATGTTTAAATCTTCCATTTAGGCCCCGCCCACTCGATCGGATCGGCGATCGGTATCGGCCGATACTGATTCCGGTGATCGGCGATCGGCCCCGAAATTGGCGATCGGAGCATCCCTATTAATCACCATTCGAACTATGTCCAAAATATGTCATTTCTTTATGTATATTGTTGTGGGAATGGAAAGATAAATGAAAGAAGGTGGATATATCCATTTAACATGTTTATTGTAACATTTTTCTGTGTCAAAATGAAAGAGAGCACCTATCAATCATCAAACCGTGGGGTCTTAATTCATTACGTGTTGATTTCTATCAACGGGGGAGTACTTCAGGAAAGTCGACAGGGGGGGGGGCTAGTGGAGTACTTCATGACCACAGAGTGTGAACGTTGTGATCAGCTGTTTTAGCGCAGTTCTCCAGTGAAGGGGGGGAGTCTCCCTCCGCAGCCGGTTGGCGTAGTTTTGACACAATTCTGTTGTACAGACCGACGTTAACAGCAGCCCTGTCTGTGCACACGGAGACCGACTCTGTCGTCCGGTGATCTAACCGCCTTCTGGAAAAGCTTCACAAGTACGTCGGTACGCAAATGCGCTTTGTGACACAAGTGACGGTACGCATTTCAGATTACGCACATAACCTGCGTACCAGTTATGTGCACCTACTACAGCAAAAGTATTCTCCGTCGGGACTTCCTGCAACAACACCACGCCGTTATCTTGATTCTGATTGGCCAGAAGACATTATCAAAGATGTTCTATTGAGAAGACGATCACTACGTGACAAAAGTTTTTAAAACCGTTTCTGGTCTTCGGTATTTCCAGACAAGTGGCTACTGAAATCAATCTTACTAACTGTGGAGGCCTACTCCCACCTGTCGAGTGCGGCTGTACTGAGGTGTTTTTCCTCCGGAGACGGAGCGAAGAGACGGAGCGACTCCACCTGTTGCTGCATGCGATCTGCGATTTACGGAGGCCCTGCTCGTCGCGAAGAGACGGAGCGGCTCCACCTGTTTGCTGCCTGCGATCTGCGATCTACGGAGGCCTGCTCCCACCTGTATAATACGGCTGTACTGGAGAGGTTTTTACCCCGGAGTCGTCGCGGAGAGACGGAGTGGATCCACGCTTCGGGCTTGGCCTGCTTCCACCGGGCGTGTGCTGCTGTGCGGACGAGGATTTTACCACCGCTGGGGCCTGCTTTCCACCTGTCCTGATTCTGCTTTCACCCCGGGGATACCACGGAGGGACCGGAGCACTTCCACGCTGCTGTTTTCGCCTGTCCTTTGCTGCTGTGCTGATTTTGCTCCAGGAACATCGCGGATACTGTGTGCTGGTCTGGGAAAATGGCCCATATCGGGATTCTGCTGTGCCTGTTAACTGTTTTGGACTATGAGAAGATCTCTATTCATTCTGAGAAGACTACTGGATTCAGGTCTGTTCTGCTACCCGCAGTGGGCATCCCCTGCAAAGGTTCGGATGTGTTGCTCAAACAATTACCGGTTGCCTTGTCACAGTCAATCTGCTCGACAAAATATGTTTGTCTTTTTTATTTTCCTGCGATGATGGTTCTTAAGGACTGCTTCTTAAGCTCTAATCACACTCTCGCAGACTTTTCCGGTGTTTCTAAATTAGATGACAATGTATTTGTGTCGTTTAAGAGGAAAAGATGCCTGTTTTTTGTTGTTGTTATTACTGTCAGGAAATGTACAACCTAACCCTGGTCCGCCCAGTAGTAGTAGTCAGATCGCTACTCCTGCTGATTTTAAAGCTAGGTCTGGGTTGGGTTTCATCCACTTGAATGTGCGCAGTCTGTTAGGTAAACTAGATTTTGTCCGTATCTGGGCAAAATCGACTGACGCTGACGTCATTGTCTTATCAGAAACATGGCTAAATAAATCTATTTTGGCCTCTGACATTGCCTTAAATGGTTTTAATGTGTATTGTACAGACCGGCCTAATAAAGGTGGTGGCGTTGCCATTTATGTTAAGAATAAGTTCAGTGTAACCACATTAGTTTCCAAATCGATCAGTAAGCAATTTGAATTTTTAGCCATAAATATAGAAGTGGCAAAGGGTCAACAGGTCATGGTAGTGAGTTGTTACAGACCCCCCTCAGCTGTCAAAGACTCCTTGTCTTCACTAGCAAATCTTTTATCACAACTAGACTACAAGGAAATAGTGCTACTTGGAGATTTTAACTGGGATTGGTTAACTGCAGTGTCAGAGGATTTTAAAAACCTTTGTATCTCTTTGAATGTTACTCAGATTGTTGACAGTCCTACTCGCCCAAATATTAAGTCCCCTAATAAATCCTCCCTAATTGATCTCATTTTAACTAATGTTCCCCATAAATATTCATCTGTGGGAGTATTTGCAAATGATCTGAGCGATCACTGTGTTGTAGCCACAATTAGGGACACTAAGGTCCAAAAGGTTAAACCTCGCATTATCATTAAGAGAGACAAAAAGCATTTTGTTGAGCAGGGTTTTGTGCATGATCTGTTTGATTTTGATTGGGTTAAAATCGATCTGTGTGCTGATGTGGAAACCGCATGGTCTTATTTTTATC